GGGTCTAGATGACCCCAGCTAGATGCTTATCTAACCTCCTCTTGAAGACCCCCAGGGTAGGGGAGAGCATCACCTCCCTTGGGAGCCCGTTCCAGACCTTGGCCGCTCTAACTGTGAAGAAGTTCTTCCTAATGTCCAGTCTAAATCTGCTCTCTGCTAGCTTGTGACCATTTTTTCTTGTAACCCCCGGGGGCGCCTTGGTGAATAAAACCTCACCAATTCCCTTCTGTGCCCCCGTGATGAACTTATAGGCAGCCACAAAGTTGCCTCTCAACCTTCTCTTGCAGAGGCTGAAAAGGTCCAGTTTCTCTAGTCTCTCCTCGTAGGGCTTGGTCTGCAGGCCCTTAACCATACGAGTGGCCCTTCTCTGGACCCTCTCCAGGTTATCCGCATCCCTCTTGAATTGTGGCACCCAGAATTGCACGCAATACTCCAACTGCGGTCTGACCAGCGCCCGATAGAGGGGAAGGATCACCTCCTTGGACCTATTCGTCATGCATCTGCTGATGCACGATAAAGTGCCATTGGCTTTTCTGATGGCTTCGTCACACTGCCAACTCATGTTCATCTTAGAGTCCACTAGGACTCCAAGATCCCTTTCCATTTCCGTGCCACCCAGCAGGTCATTCCCTTGTGTCAGTCTACCTCCCAGTATAGGCTCCTTGTGAAATCGCTGAGCCTCAGCATTCTTACAGGCAGAAAACACTCAGCCCACCATCCCTGGATGGCTCCCCTGGGCAGAAGCTCCTTCCCCTGTGGCAGCCAGGGACAGACTCCCCCAAGGCAGCATCAGCCTTGAGCTTATCTGCTCCCAGGGTCCTGCCTGCATCTGGTCAGCTGACCACTTGCAGGTGACTGCTGACTGCCCCATTTGCCCTGTTGCCCTGGAAACTGGCAGCTTCTGTGCCCTGTAGTGCTTCCTGTCTGGGATGCCTTTATCATAAAGTAACAGAGAGCCCAGGGCTCAGGACTCTCTGTTATACTCATGCTCAAATTTTTTTAGCAACATTCTGCAGATGTTCATGAAAGGTGAGGCTCTGTCTGAGAGTTACACCAAGCTGTTTTGGGTACTTCTCATGCTTAACTTCTTCTCCACAGAAATTGATGGCGAGTTTCTGGTCAGCATGGGTATTGTTTACATGAAATGACGTGATGACAGTTTTCCTCATATTTGGGCTGGAACTTGGCTGATTTTGGGGGAGTGAAGAAGCTGTTGGGCTGTGGGTGCAGGGTAGTTGAAGATAGGGGCATTCTTTAAAGGCCATCCTCACACCAGAAACTGCTATCCTGAGAGGACTGCCAAAGTGACAGAGAAGGGTCTTGTTCAAGGGAGAAGTGTGCAAAATCACAAGGACCGGTAGCACCCTAAGTAGTGTGGAAATGGAAGGAAAACACTACCTCTATACACAATCCAAAAGCACCGAAATATCTTGCAATATGCATGCCAAACCGGAGTACTGTATTTGGCTTCAGATCCCTTTTATGACACCTATCTCCACATATCAGCTTAAAGTACATCACAAAATTAATAGAATTCTATAGTAATTGTTCTGAACCCAAGGGGCCATTAATGCCTTAAAGTCTACACATTTTGAAATGTCTGCAAAGCCTAATCTTGACTATTTACCTCATAAAATAACAGGGTAAAAAGCTGAGTGCATTAATGAAACTGTGAGCCAAAATACCTTTTTTCTATTTTATTCTATGTCTACTACTATAAAAAAATGCCTATTATACAACACATTTTATTTTTTAGCCCCCATGTTGATAACTTTAAGCTCATAAGAAGTGGAAACTTGGACAAACTACTATGGAGGAATATAGTATTGTTCAGTCATGTAGGGATGAAATCAGGAGGGCCAAAGTGCAACTGGAGTTGCAGCTAGCAAGGGACAGGAAGGGTAACAAGAAGGGTTTCTACAAGTATGTCAGCAACACAAAGGAAGACCAGGGAAAGTGTGGGCCCCTTACTCAATGGGGGAGGCAATCTAGTGACAGATGATGCAGAAAAATCTGAAGTACACAATGCCTTTTTTACCTCAGTCTTCATAGGCAAAGTTAGCTACCAGATTACTGCACCTAGAAGAGTGGTCAGCAACTCAGGGATCGTGATTGACTGGTCAATCCCTGAGCCTCTTTAGGTTGATCCTGGGCTGGGGGGACAGCTGGGTGTGTACACATGCACACATCCACCTCCCCCCCAACCCCAGCAGGTCAATCTGTGGGGAAGGGAAGGGGCAAGGGACAGATTGGGGCCTCTGTGGTGAGGAACTGACCTGAGGCTCAGCCAGGGGCAGGGGAAAGTAAGCCTTAGCCCCATTGGGTGGTGGGAGGACTGGAACCCCAGGGGGGGCCCTCCCCATCTCTGCAGGGGTGGAGACAGAGGTAGAGGTGCCAGAAGCAGCTGCTGCTGCATTGTGAGCCATGCTGCAGCTGTCCATGTGAGGTTCAGCTCAGCAGTGAGGACTCATGTGGCATTGGGCCCTAGCCTGGCTGGGTCTGGGACTATCTTCCACCCAGGAGCACATGATGGGGGGGTGCTCCTGCTGCTGGGCACAGCCTGGAAGGGGCCCCGGGGGCTCATGCTCCCCCATTTGTGCTCCAGGATGAACCAGCTGCTGCTGTGGGCTGCCTGCT